GGTGTGGTGAGGCCCGGGTACCAGTTTGTTCTTCTGCAAGAAAGTTACTATAACTGCAGCATATTTGTCAAATTCAGTGAATCTAATAGACATACGTGCATGCATTGCCAATTAACCTTCAGAAAGATGGAAAATTGCAATATTCTCATTAAGCCTTCGGCCTGCCATAAGCAACTTGATTCAATTAGTGACAAAGAATTAGTTCTTCCTTCTGGCAAGCATTTGAACATTTTCGAATGCTATAGAACCAGAAAGCATATACAGAAGACGGTTTCAGAATTTATCATTGACCAATTGTTATTAAACGACGATCTCGCTACATATACAGAAGACAGTTTCATAATTTATACAAGTAAGACACAGTTTGAAGGGGTGGGTTTTTTGCACTGTTTTATTCACATGGAGTTCACTTGCAATGTGAGAGATCTGTATTTATTCTGTCAAACTCATTTCTGTATAAAATGATTTTCTCAATAAACAATATGTGAACCTAATTCTAAAGTTAGACCCACAGCATGGAATGCAAGTGATCAGATAGCACAAATTTTTAGATATTAAATTTGATTTTTACAGCAGAATATTTGGCCCAAAATAAATGTGCAAAATATTTTGAAGTGAATATGTATTAATATGATAATGCGCGGGTGGAGTTCATGACCAAAATTTCAAACATGGGGTCTCTACATAGTTATTCAAAAGTTGAATCGCAAAAGGCTCAATTTACAGAAAGAAAAAACATGTCGAGAAAGACATATTTCTACAGCGAAAATATGTGTCTCTTCAGACGTATCATGTCTAAGAAAACACTTCTCACCCGAATTAGTCCAAAATATTTTACTTAATTTTCCAACAATTTTTACATATATAAACGACTTAAATTTAGCTGTAATTTCTCATTCACTCGAAATTGATGTCAAGCAACTAAATTAACTACAATAATACACACATTCGTTCTACAAATCTCCACCACAGCTAATGATTACCACTTAATAATCAGTTAAAACCAATTTTCTAAACCACTTTCCAACACGCGTCCCACTATGACCTTGACTTGATCCAGGTATTTTCTAAGAAAGACATTTTCTTGCAGTTGGCGTAGCTATTAAGTGACATAGCTTTGAACAATCAAGTTCACACCATAAGTTGGTTTAATTTATTAATTTCAAATTGTAGAATCTTAAGTGACATAGCTTTGAAACAATCAAGTTCACACCATAAGTTGGTTTAATTTATTAATTTCAAATTGTAGAATCTTAATCCCTTTTGTAAAATATTGAAATTATTTTTTACAATTGGTGTTTAAAGAAATTAGTTGAGCATGGAGCAACTTGTTAATTTAAATCTAGAAGTTGCAAGGTAGGAGAGGAGAAAGTTGACTAGCTAATCCCCAAGAATTATTCAAGGTACATCTTAAGAATCTTATTGTTTCTTTAGTAAAAGATGTAATTTTTTTTTAATTTAAAAATATAGGGAAACGAAGATAGAAAGATCATTATTTGATTTACAACTTCAATCTTTCGATAGCCAACGAAGTAGTAATTGTCGTTCTTGTTTCCTTCAATAAATTTAGGTCATATTTGATGTTGGACAGTATTAAATGACAAGGTGTAGAACGTGCCATCGTGGTTCTCTATTGAGTATTTAGCCTCGGTAATTCATAGATTCGTAAATATCTCGTGAACAGTTTGGACTTTTTTATTCTTAATACAAACTTTGGAGTTAATTATACTTGAATTTTGAAACTACGTTTCAAAGTTTAGCCATCCAATTCTAAGAAAACAAAAAAATAATCTTTCTTGGATCAACAACTTCAACTTACTTCAAGGATAGGTTCAACTAATTTGAAAATGTCTATTTTTCGGTATTTGAAAATAGTTAATTATCATGTCAACCTAAAATGGAATAATAAATTAATATGTACCCTCAATTTAACTAATACATAAATATAGAGACAGGC